TTCTGCTTAACAGGAGAAGAATCTTCCTGATTTCCTCTGGTCTGTCATCTTGATGGGATTTTAGGAGCTGGTGAGCCTCATACAATTACTGTTTGATGTTGTATCTTGTATTAGATAATTGATTACAGGATAGAATCTATACATGCCTTTGCAATAAATCCAATCCTGCTGTGAGATTAGATCCATCACTGTATACATTACACACTCTACTTGTATAAACTAATTACAAGCCTGAATAAGCAGAGAGTGGATCTCCCTCCCAGAGCAAGCTGTAGTTGGTACTTTGAATAAACTCTATGTGTAGCTCCTTACTCTGTCACAGCAGGTCAAAATAAGCAATTAGGACAATGAAGCCACAGGTGGTTCTGAAAAGGGATTCATGTATCCTTAAAACATTTACTGTCCAACTACTCTAAACATTGGGCAAGAGCTATATAGATACAAGCAAGGCCCAAATGGTGATATTAATACTCCGAAAGCCTGACCATGGAATCCAGTAAAAGGATCAGCAGCAATTAGAGTAATCACCAGATACTGACGGTCAGATCCGGTCAAACCACATGTCTGGTTTTTAATCAAAATTCTGCAAATCAGCAATGTTTATATTGTGACAATTTTAGCATAAAAACATGCAGTTTAATTTAAAATTCTACAAAATTCTGGATTTAGTGAATACATCACATGTTTTTATAACATGGCAAGCTGACTTTTGTTGGGTGATGTAAACATTAAATCTAAATCAATGTTAAGATACCCATCAGTATTTCTCTTAATGTTTATTTTGTGTATCATGCTCATTATAAGTCTAGAAAATGTGTAATTGTCAAGTAGCTGTTAACATGATGCATTAGAGTAGAATACAAATATATGAAAGGACATTGGAGGAGATTTATCAAATATCAATTTGTTCTAAAAAGTAACAGTTCATTCCGTGATTATTTTTAACCTTATGTATTAAAGTGTTATGAAAGTAATCTAAACATGTATGGGTTGCTTCTTAATAAATTGTGCCAGTCTACTAAGAATTTCCATTTTAAAAAACTCATCAATTTTGAGTGGTAGAAAAAAACCCAAAACAAAACAAAAATGAAGCGTGAAACAGAACTGCTTTGTCTGTTGGAAAAAGTTTTGGACAAATGTCTAAATCCATTGTGACAATGGAAAAAAAAATGATGGTTAAGACACAAAAGAAGCAACAGATGAAAAACACCAACAGAATTAAAAAAAAATGACACTAAACATTTGCTAAAATTAGATGTAAAAGTGTTGATGACAATTTGATAAATCTCCCTTATCGTCAACGTATGGAAAGTATTCAATCTTCTTTCATGTTTACTATAAATGGAAATGTAGGAATCTAGCTTAAGAACATGGTGCCATGCAGGTACATTCTTTAAACACCTCACCCAAAACTAGTTGGCATGCAGGTTTAATGCTAAAACGCAAGAAATATTTGTTTGGTATATATATATATTTTTTTTAACAAGAAAAGTATAAATGATTTGAGTCAAGTGCTACAACTTTCTACCTTGGATTTCAGGAAATCCCCAGGAAAAGATGAGATTCCAACTGAAAATTAATCATCAACATTTACATAGCCCATGCTACAATCCTAGTCATTGTTCTTTTCAAGAAGACTATCAGGACCACTTAAGTCCAATAAGAAGGGAATATACGGGCCTGTGAGTTAACATAGATCTGGTTTGAATATTTCTGGACTGACGCAAAGAGTACATTTGGCGTGCTCTCTGTACACCAGAACTATTCATTAGAAGAACTGGTTTAGCAAAATGTGTCATATTGATACAGTTGTCACAAGGTTCGGAAACTTTGTACACCTTGGTGACCATATCAGACCATTCTCTAATTTAGGCCTCAATTTATTTTTTTTGAGTACGCTTTTCAAATGATTTCATATTCTTGGATACCCTTTTAAAAATATTAACAGATACGCAAATAAATGTATCAAAATCTTAAATAATTTTAAACGTTTATGCAAAAATATAAAATTATTTGAAAAGTTTATCCTAAATTATTAAATCGACCCAGGGAACCCAAGGTCTGTGCAGCAAGGGGTACAGGCATCTCTTACAACCTGTGTTACATAACACTGTATAATTATATAATTATTATTAATTAAGAGCCAGCATACTCTATTCCCTTCGACATTCAAAATAGTACTTGACATGAGTGCAAAGTAGAACTTCACCTACTCCTGGATCTATTAATTGCCTTAAACTGTATGGGTACCTAGACTCCTGTAAACTGGGTTGAAAAAAACCATACAATAAATAAGTAAATAAATAAATAAATATTATTAAACAAATGTCTATACCCAAGCAAACTGGTACATATCACTTAAAGGACCACTATAGGCACCCAGACCACTTCAGCTTAATGAAGTGGTCTGGGTGCCTGGTCCATCTAGGGTTAACCCTTTTTTTTATTAACATAGCAGTTTCAGAGAAACTGCTATGTTTATAAATAGGTTAATCCAGCCTCTAAAGCTTCTAGTGGAAGGAAGTCTGAGGAAGTCTGATTAAGTACAGACGAAACGCGTTGAGCAAACCCGGGAATTGGATCAGCTGATGGTGAACTGTTTCATCTGTCTTTGCTACAGCCTCTACACAGACGCCCACAGACTGCTAAGACCGGGAACTTTAGCCTATTATAGGCATCAGCACTTTAGCACATATTGATTTTATCAATTGTGCCACACTGTTTGTGAGTGTTTTTATTTTATATTTTTTATCATTTTGGATTAAAAGTTTGCACTATGATGTTTTCTCTTTTTATATCTTTTATGTGAATATCCTCATCTGCTCGTTGGAGGGTAACTATATTCAGTATGTATATCTGGTGATAAGTGGCGCCCTATTTCTGTATAGTATATACAGTTCTGTTTTTTGCGCATCTAAAGCTTCTAGTGGCTGTTTCATTGACAGACGCTAGAGGCGTTTGCGTGCTTCTCACTGTGAAAATCACAGTGAGAAGACACAAGCGTCCATAGGAAAGCATTATGAATGCTTTCCTATGAGACTGGCTGAATGCGCGCGCAGCTCCTGCCGCGCATGCGCATTCAGCCGAAGAGGAGGAGAGGAGGCGGAGAGGAGGCGGAGAGGAGGCGGAGAGGAGGCGGAGAGGAGGAGAGCTCCCCGCCCGGCGCTGGAGAAAGAGGTAAGTTAAACCCCTTCCTCTCCCCAGAGCCCGGCGGGAGGGGGACCCTGAGGGTGGGGGCACCCTCAGGGCACTATAGTGCCAGGAAAACGAGTATGTTTTCCTGGCACTATAGTGGTCCTTTAACTAATATTAAATAGCTACTTAAACAGTGCTGGAAATAAAAACAATTAAAGAAGAATTCCCGACAGTCTTATGACACGATAGATGCCACTTAGTAATCCCCTTTCATCCTTCGTCACATCACTCGAGCTGCGCTGGTAGAGCCAAATAAAGCTAGTGGGAAATTTCATGGTGCACTAGTAACCATAAATTGGTGAATTGGAAGGGAAAAATGAAAATTTACAAAGGGTTGTTGAAAAACATCACCTCAAAGCTTTAGCTACCAACCAAAGCTTTAGCTACCAACCAATGAATGACCCTAATCCTTGAATGCCATAATCCCAAAGGCGTTCCTTGAGGATCATGGGCCAAGCCAATGCTCCTCATACCTCGCAAGTCTGTATGTCGCAATGGGATGCTGCTAGCAGGGACATTGGGGTTATGTTGCAGAGGCCTGCACAGTCCCTGTGTAAGTCCAATGAGAGGCTGATCCGGTAGCTATGCTTCTCACAACCCGTAACCTCTGAATCCTCTGACTCGGCCCCAACCACCAGGCGTGACCTGAAGGTCTTGCTGGCAGACATTCACAAGCTCCTCGCATACTGCCATAATCAAAATGGAACTGCAAGTGGTAACAGACCGGATAAGGGCCATGAAGGAAGATATGACAGACACACAAACCCAGATGGCCACAATGCAGGACTCAGTACAACAGCTCCAGGCTCATCAGAGGGCCAGGTCTGCCAAAATCAAGGCCATAGAGGACCGTCAACGTCGCACATATATTAAAATCTGGGGTATACCTACGGCTGTATCAGCGGAAGAGCTGATGCACTATGTTAGGCTCCTTCTATCCACCATATTACTCCACACTGTGGCAAGGAAATTGTCCATAGTTGGAATCTATCGGGCTATTCAAACAAAACCTAAAATGATGCGAGATGTCATTCTCTGCTGTATCACTGTTCAGGACATGGTCCAAAATATGGCAGCATTGAAAGGCAAGACACCTCTTTGGTTTGAGGACTCAACTCTTTCCTTTGTTCAGGATCTCACTAGAGCCACCATACTATGGCATAAGTCCTATGGACCCGTGACAAACCAACTGCGCTCAGCAGGATTGCCATACAGATGGAGGACCAATGGCTCATTGGTGGTGACACAATCTAGAACTACACATGTCCTCCACTCGATCGATAACACTGCATCTTTTCTAGAGACACAGGGACTGTGTAGCTCGAATACAACCCTAAAATGCACAAGCTCAAGTAGAATCTTGGGATCCAACTAATGTAGCTCCCTTTGCTCCACAGGCCAGAAGTGCACAAGCACCAGTTCCATAAAGGCTACGGCAGGAGACCAGTGATCCACTGTATTCGTTACCAACTGTGATCCAGATGTCCACAGCCCAATAAAGGTATCATTTTAGAGTCACATCTTTAAGTTTGTTTAAGTGGTTTTATTATGTTTTAAGAAATGTTCTGAGAAAAGTACGGATGAATCGCTGTGTGTAAAGCACATAGTTTCACCAAAGTGCATCACAAATTGAAGCACGTCAGATTTAAAGGGAGCGTTAGCACTCTCACTACATCTATCAATGATTTGTGAGTGTTTGAGAAAATGTGTGCATGAGTGTGTCAGTGTCAGTGTGTGTGTCTGTCACTTAATGTGTGTGTGTCTGTAAGTGAGAGTCTAATATGCAAAAAATAGTGGTCCAGGCACTCAAGGTAATAACTAAAACAGCAGCTTTATTGGACACTCCAATAAAGCTGCTATTTTGGCTATTACCTTGAGTGTCTGAACCACAATTTTTTACATATCTACAAGTGTGGTTTGGCCATCCTTGGTTCTTGTGCACCTTGGTTACCTGGTGAGTGCGGTATACCCTACCTTTCCACATGTGTGTGTGTGTCTGTCAGTATGTGTGTGTATCAGTGAATGTATGTGTCAATTAATGTGTGTTTGTCAGTGAGTATGTCTGTCAGTGAGTGTGTGTTAGTGAATCAATGAATGTGTGTCTGTAAATGAGTGTGCATGTCTGTCCGTGAGTGTGTGTCTGTCTGTGACTGAGTGTGTGCGCTAATGAATGTGTGTGTCTGTCATAGTGTCAAACCAGTGAGGGTGTGTGTCAAATCAGTGAGAATGTGTGCTTGTCAGTGTATGTGTATCTGAGAGTTTATACCTTTCAGTGAGTGGGTGTGTCAGTGTGTGTGTCTGTAAGTCAAAGTGTGTGTTGGTCTTAAACAGGAAGAGGTGCTTCCTTGACAGAAAGAGGCAGGAAAAATTTAGAATAAGGGGTGCCCAAAGTCTGAGCTTCATTCACTTTTAACCTACTTAACATGTTCTTAGCATATTTCTGGAAACAAATGCATAACATTTGTTCCTATACAGCTAGTGACTATTGTATGACACGGTGAATGATCCTCTGGCATATGCCTATTGTCTTGATCGTGGCTACTGAGTGAATTCAATAGCTACAGGTAAAAAAACAGTAAGGACAGATTAGACACAGCCATACCTTCCCACAGGGCAACACTAAGACTGGAAATCCAATACAAAGGTCTTCAAGTTTAATATGTGTTAAAATATATAAAAAAGTAAATGGAGTGGGCTGTCTAGTACGTCATTCTTGATTTACCTTGGTAGAATGCCAAACTGCTTATCACAGATTAAAAGATATTACTTTGGAATGTTTGGGCTATATTATACTATAGGGATGTCTGTATTCTAGAATGAAAGTGATGCCCATCTCTTTTTTCTGTTCACCTAAAACAAGTTTATCACAATATTAATTCATTTGCATACACCACTGCAAATTAGCAATCTGTAGCTGTACTGTAATGCACTGCAGAAATATTTTGGCAATTGCTCTAGAACATGCGCTTCTAACAAAAAAGGCAGGTGACATACGATAATGATAATAGTAAATTCAATTTTATATGCAGCGTTGACCAAATGGTTGTCAATATTTATGTTGTATCTTAGTGAGCGATTTGCAAACACTTAATATAGAGATCATTAATAAATGAGGTGCTGTGTATCTAGTAAATAACAGGAGACATTCATGAACATTAACAATGATCTGTGTCTGAAGGCAATTAAAGTCATACACCATGTGCTAGAGTAAAGGGGAAAAAAGATCAACAGAATTTTATAAACGCCAATCAGAAGTTCTCTTTTTAAAAGTGATACATTCTGGGCTGTGTAAACATTACACGGATAGCATACTTATCATATTTTTATAGTGTGTTTATTACAGTCAGAATTGGAACACATGTTATCAGCAGGTTTAGAAGTTACATAAATCAGTTTGAAACAATATTCTAAACAGATTAAAGGGGAAATGTTACTTCTCTATAATGCACACCAGTTAATTAAACACTGAACATCTATAACTTGTTTTAATTTTTTTAATTTTGATTTTTTTTTTTGTGAAATGCTCTGTTTTCACTTAAATTTATATTACAGGTTAAAAAAACAAAACAAAACATCTTAACCCAGTTAAGGCAAGGCAAAGCCGTGGCAAATATTGCAAATAAATAGGAGAAGTAGAAAGTAGATTCTATATGAATTTAAAATGTTTTTACAAACTATATCATGTTTATTATTGGCACTGAGGTTATTTGGAACTGCATCATAATTTTTAAACCCTATCAGAACTATTCAATAAATTGGGTAAAATTCTAAGTGAATTTAAAACATAGCTGATATAGCAGAGTTTGTTTCTAATTTGGTTATATTGGCTTAGCATATAAATATAAATATAAAAAGGATGCCAAGACAATGCAAGTCGGACTGATTTTCTCTTGGTATTTCACATACCACGCCAGAGGAAATAATTTGGTATAGGTGAGTGCACTAATTATGGGCAGATATAAAGGTTCTGTATTAAAGCAGTGTACATTATGTATATGTGAATATTTTTTATTTGTTAGGGTATATAAATCAGGGCCAGATTAAGAGCCCAGTGGACCTGGTGCTGACAGTTATGACATAACTCAGGGATACCTTGACACCCAACATTATAGGGAATCAAATAGTTTTGGACCTTTCTTACCTGGGGTCTCTAAGGTGCCACTCGTTGCATCCACTACCAATGCTGGAGATCCTGATCAGCCCAAGACTAAGCAAGCTGCAGACAACCTCTTTTAAGACTCTAATGCTGGGTATTAGAGCAATAGACATGATTAAATATCCCAAAAGACAGATAGATGTTGTTTGAAGATTCTGAGACATTTAGAAAATGACATTGACCAGTGTATAACTGGCTATTATAATTGGTCCTCACTTAACGACCTACCTGTTTTACGAAGGCTTGCACTTACGACCAGCTCTCTAGCATGGGGATTCAAGGGACTCCGCATGTTAGAATGCTGGTCTATGTTCTGGGAATTTCCCCTGAACATAGGTTCATGGGATTCCCTGTGCTAATAAGCTAATCTATATTTGGGGAAATTTCCCGGACATAGATTCGCGAGATTCCCTGCGCTAGTGAACTGGTCTATGTTCGGGGGAATTTCTCTGAACGTAGACCTGCTATCTTGTGCATGCTCGCTAGTGCATCCTCACTTACCAACCAATTTGTTTAACGAACGGGTCGTAAGAACGGATCCCAGTTGGTAAGTGAGGAGTGTCTGTATTCACAAAACTGCCTTAACACAATACTGTGGTTAAACTAAACCTTTAGTGATCAATGCCATCAAATGAATACAATCAAAGTATCAGTTAGTAAAACATGATGGGTCAGTGAAGGGAAAAGCCATGAAACAACCTTGGTTGGTAAGGTTAAAAAAGTAAAAGCTTTATTCTCCTTAATAAAATGTATGTTTACAGAAGAAGTTCAGGATAATAGTATGAACTGACAAAGTTTTTTTTTCATGTCTTTTCCATCAATAATTCTCGCATTAAGTTCACCTGCTTGACCTTTTGGTGTTGTGCTATAATCTCTACCGAGCTATAATATTTTGATTAAGGGGCTTTAGTTCATCATACTTACTTAATGCAATCTATCTAAATCTAAGAGTTTTGCAACATCAATTTAAATAATCATCGCTATATGTTTAATGGTTGTGCCCAAATACAATTTGGAAATAAAGGATGAGGAGATGTATCCCATCATATAAAATGATACAATACCATTATCTCAATCCAGACCTGCACCCTGATTTCCACAGCATAATCATAAACATTTTTAAAATGTTGCTACCACTAACCGATCCATCCATCCTTGCTCCTCCTTTCCTTATAGCATGTTCCCACAGCTGCCTCTAATCTTAAATTATTTAATCATCTCACAATCTACCCAGTATTTACATATGAACCCGGATCTCTGGCCATCAACCATAAACAGCCCTGTAATTCCCGTCACAACTCCCCATCATTATGTCTAGATTTTAAGCTTACCAGTCATCTTGCTTAGCACTTTGTAGAAGAGTACTGCAATTGCTAGATTGTAAACTCACGGGTCGGGTCATTATCTTTTTGTATCAATTTGCGTACATTGCCTGTCCTGTATAATTAACAATGTTCTGCTCATAAATCATAAAGTGATAACAGAACGATATAAGAACTGTTAAATAAATAAAATAAGTATAAAAGGGTTTTTGGGCAGTTTAATTGCTATGGACAAATCTGCCAGCTTCTTGGTTGGAAAAATCTGATATAGACAAACACAATTTAACCTGTTAAATATTTACACTGAATCTTGAGTTGAGATGAGTTACTTCTGTACAATTTTAGTGCCACAAATGTATGAATTTTGAGAAAAAAATAGTGCTGCTATGGGACCTTATTCAGTAATACGTTTATACTATAGTTACTTAGCTTAAACAATTTGATACATTAGGGTTTTTTTTTTTTGCGGGTAAAAGACTAACAAACAACTTGGCTTAAACAATCTGATACATTGTTGTTTGTCGGATAAAAGGCTGACAAACATTGCTGTAGCCCAAAGCAGAAACTAAAAATATAAAATACTATTCTTTTCCAAAACAAATGAAATTCTTTTGTAGGCAACAACAAAACTATCATAAATCCGAGGGCTGCGTGTTAAACTACCCCCCTGGTAATCATGTTACACTTTTTGTACTGGATGGTATAAATGTGAGAAGAAAAAATAAAATTGCAGTAACACTGTAAACAAAGAGAGGCTGTAAAAATAAGGCCAGAAAAGTGCACTACTAAAAAATACAAAACGTCAACTACATGAGGTCTCTCATAAAACAAATAGAGGCAACAATAAAAAGCTTAGAAAACAGAATTGCAAACCATTTACATATTATCAATAAATGTCCATAAAAGTATAACTCTATGTTAACAAGATCTAAAGAATATATATAAGTAATAAAGATATATAATGAGGGAGTAGATGAACTGAAAGCAACCTTGGATATAGAAATACTTTGTAAGTGCTAGGAAATAAAAAGTTAGCATACATTTGTGGAATATATATAGGGATAAATGAATGTTGCATCACATAAAACACCAATATTTTAGACAGGTGTTCATATTAATTTTATTTACAAATATATACCTGTGCAAAGTATCATGATAGTTGTAGTTCTGCTAGGGATCTGTGTTTTGGCCAGTTCTGAAAAGTCCTAACCGTTTGAACCCCCCCCCCCCAAAAAAAAGCTGCAAGAATGTAGAGCAGAAGATTTGCATTAAAGGGCCACTAGAAGGACATTTGGTCACCTAATTGACACTTTATGTCCTCATGCTCTGTACGAGGACATCCAGCATCACCCAAAACCCCTTAGGAAAGCATTATACAGTACAAAAAAGCAAAAAGTAGA